GAATGGAAAGAATCACACTATCTATCCTGTATACAAACAATTGATGAATGGAAAGAATCACACTATCTATCTTGTATACAAACAATTGATGAATGGAAAGAATCACACTATCTATCTTGTATACAAACAGTTGAAGAACAGAAAGAACGGCACTATCTATCCTGTATACAAACAGTTGAAGAACAGAAAGAACGGCACTATCGATCCTGTATACAAACAGTTGAAGGACAGAAAGAACGTCACTATCTATCCTGTATACAAACAGTTGAAGAACAGAAAGAACGGCACTATCGATCCTGTATACAAACAGTTGAAGGACAGAAAGAACGTCACTATCTATCCTGTATACAAACAGTTGAAGAACAGAAAGAACGGCACTATCGATCCTGTATACAAACAGTTGAAGGACAGAAAGAACGGCACTATCTGTCCTGAATATAAAAAGTTAGTGGAAGAAAGAAGGATGCTATCAGAACAATAAATAACAATATTGCTTGATTTGTAACTAAGCAACTACCTATGTATTCTGTCGTGAGTGTTCAAAAACATTCTTAACTCCGTAAGTGGAGTAGAAAGGCTTAATCGCCTGCATCCATTAATCTCATTCTTACGCGGTTTCGTATGCCTTGTTCCGCTAATTGAAAGAAACACGTTATAACTATGTAACTTACATCGAGTAGGGCATGAAACACAAAGTATACAAGTTTGTTTTAGAACAAAGCCAAATTGGGCTATATGTTGTTCTATCGGTTCGAACTCCGAATTGTAGCATTGTAAGCTTAGCTTACCTTTATCCCATCGGGGGATATTTGTTTAAGGATAAGCAATAAGGTGCGATTCCAGCTTCGTTCATTTTGTCTAAATTGCGCCTATACTTGATAGTACGACGTTAAATTCTATATAGCAATGAACGATGCTGTGACTACTCCCAAACTTGGCAACTTATGCATGTTTTTAGTTACTTTCCATAATATAACTTTTGCAATGCTATTTCTATTCTTCCACAAATACAGTAAGAAGATTTTAGAGTTAGCGTAATAAGGGTGTCGTGAGATAATTATACAGCTCTAAAGTACTTGAAGACCTGACGTCACCTGCACGAACAGAATTCACTGACGTAGCATACGTTTAAAGAAAGTTAGACAATGGTTTCGTTTTGTGTTTACTTACTGATTATATTTATTATTTTATTACACGTTACAGCTTTTACAGTAAGAAAGAGTATTTTTAAAAGAGGTACAACGTTTCGATCACTGGTGCGATCATCCTCAAGTACACAAGTTTTAACTTTTAAGTGATCGAAACGTTGTACCTGTTTTTAAAATATTATTCCTTACTGTAAAGCTGTAACTTGTAATAAAATAAAAGTCAGACAGTGCAACGAGGTTGCGCATGAGGCTTTAAATAAAATATGTTCTAAAATGTTGGTGCTTAGTGCTTACGTGTAATAACGGACTCTTTTTCGAGGTTAATGAAATATTTGATCAAGTATTTTGAAAGAGATAAAGATAAAATGCACGTTAAAATATATTAGTTAGATAATTCAATTTGGAACGAAGTTACAGATATTGCTAGTCTTTATTAGGCATATTTTCAAAGTTGAAAAGTGTGTTGTAACTTTACGTGTACTCAATCAAAAACATTTTACACTGTTAAGTGCTTGACTGCAACATCTCGGATGGCTGTAGGCTGTAGGTGGCTGACCTACGACGTTTCGAATAGCAGATAATTAGTCAATAGAGCTAGGTCACTAATAACGACATGTGTACGAAAAGATAAATATTTTATAAATCATTTCTAAAAGTAAATGTTGATCTTTTTAAATTGTTTAATAAATAATATTTTAGAAATGAAAAACAATCACTTCATCGAGAGAGGATACATAATACTGTGCTTACTTTAGAAGTTGAACAAATCAGTTAAATGTGTCGTATGTGTTGTTTTCTTCAATAAACTTGAGTTTTTCCATGTTTCCTCCATCACGTTTTACGTTATGGGAACATACTTATGTCTCGGCAGAGAGACATACTGTTTTTCCATTGTTTCTTCTTCATACAAATACTTTTCATTCGACCCCTATTCCTTCATTTCTCGGTGGATTGACTTGCAATTTGACAGGGTTATACCTTGGTCTAATACGACCAGAAGGCTTTTTTTTTCATTTTTTATTTTATTTAGATCTTTCTGAGGATTGTATGGGGAAAAGAGTAAAATAGCTCAAAATGTTTATTTTGAGCTCCTATGCGGCCATATTTACATAAATACAGATGAAAATTGGTACAAATATAAATTTTTATTAACATTAACATACAAAAAAGTTGGATTTTCCTCTTTTGAGTCTTTTTAGATGGGTCAGAGCTCACAAAAAATCATAATTTGGGATTTTTGGTCGAACAC